GGTACAGCTGCCCGAGCAAGGCTTATAACCCGGATATGGCCATTACAGTCTCCCTAGCCTTTGTCGGCAAGGTATTCTTGTCTATAATATGCTAGCCGTTAAGCGGCTGCTGGTTGGTCCCGAGAGCGACCTCCAAGGCACAACGGGACGAGTGAGTTCCGTAACCGATCGGTGAGCGGCCATCTATCATTGCATATATATATATATATATATATATGGTAAGGTGGTACCGACATTACCATACATGTTGTAAATGGGCGCCTACTAATCGGTTAAGGGACTCACTCGGCCTGTTATGCCTTGGAGCTCGCTCTCAAGCCCCGCTGGCAGCCGCTCAACTAGCAAGCATATTATAGGCAGAAATACATTACTGACAAAGACTAGGGAGACTGCAATGGCTACTTCTGGTTTATAAGCCTTCATCAGCCAGTCATACCTCATCTCAAGTGTGAGTCACCTGAGATTCGAAGCTGGGAACTTGAGTCATCTAGTCAAAAGCTCCACTAATGAGTCACAGTCAGTTTTTATTGGAAACAGTAATAACGATGATGCTGTGCCCACCGACCAGGTGACAGGGCAGACTCAGCTAGAAATTTCTGCCCTTGTCTATACTCCATAATATGCACACATATATATAGTAACCATTAGCAAGGGCACTATTATAAATCACGCCAAGCAAGTCACCTTGACCGGATTATATCCGATACCGCCGATGAACGCGGTACGCAGAGGATTACCGTCTACAGATTGAGTACGCGCTTTGCCGAACTTTGAAAATAGGCCCGACTTGTCTGTTGCGGTCTTCTGAGCATTGGTGGCGGAAGTACCAAGCATTTGATTCATCAGGGCTGTGTGGCTTTCCAGAGCGGCCGGTGAACACTGCTCAAGATTGAGGAAGGGTAGATCGACGGGCTGGAGGTACTCACTCATGTTCTTCTCCAGCATCTCCGCGTGATCCTGAAGAATGGAAAAACAACACACATGACGGTTCTGACATTCCTTTATAAGAGTCATAGTACAAAGACAGGAGACCGTCGGGACGTGAACTCGAGTGTAGCGAAGATATGCATACATGACAAGGCGGGTGTTCCGCCGTTGTACT